TGTAACTCCTACTGAGGACGCGCTTCGTTGAAACGTGCACTAGAGTAAGGGGCATAGAAACCATTCTACCGTTATGCGGTTTTTATTGGACTCGGAAATTTTACAACACTCTAACGCTATTTTTTGGCATGTGTGATCGAGTGTCGTCGTACAGAAAGACAATTTTATTAGTCATTTCTGTGAACAGCTGAGTGAGAGTAGTACCACGTAGTAGGAGGTTATGGCACCATGTTCTATCTAAACCTTATCAAAATTGAGGAACATCCTTGAGTAAATCTGGTTTCAACTTATCTGGTGGCATTTCTGGAGGTCATCTGCATCTTACTATAATACTTATCTCTCGATAGATATAAAAGTCAAACTGTAATGAGTTTTCCACTTATTACTCTCTGTGTGTTCATCTCTGTCCGTGGTCCGTGTTCGTCCTCGCACGTACGACTCTCGCTTGTTTTGTAGTACCGCTCGTATCCGAAATTTTGTCGAATGTTATCCGTCCATGAAGGACTTTAGGTAGTAATAATAACGAAAGAGCTAAATGCCTCATAAGGATGTTTGCTTTGAAGCACATTTATAGAACTGGGTAAAACCTGACCACAATTAATTACGAGAGATTTCTTATCAACAGCGACTAGTTATCCACTTTCTTTTCCTCCGGAATTCATCCCATCCCAGAATTCAACTCAAAAGCGCAGCTTTCACTTAACCTCGGTATTGGTAAAATCTTACGAAATCTCCATATTTAACCTAGCGTGAGGTTGGTACCTCTTTTCAAATACGAGCTTCAGCGATTTCGCCTTCCACAGAGCCAAGACGTTCTATACTATTCCATATTTTACCACTCAGTTGATATTTCCTAATTCCAGTGAAAATCTAATTCGGTAACCAATGCAATCTACGTGTTAAGGAAAGGCCACTGCTCACTCTTTAGTGGAGTAAGCTCACCCGTGTGCTGTTCATACAATGCGAGCAGTAAACCTTACTTCGATCAGAAGATTAATTTGAGTTAAGGCGCCAAATTACGCATGATAGTCACTCACTCTCCCTTCTTGTTCGTTTTTGGATTTTTGAAATTATCCAAAAAGCCTCAAGAGTTCTGCGAGCTGATGTTGATTCCTGCCCGCAATTCTTACTACCACCTAAAATTCGTGATATAGTCTACTTGTTTCACCAATCTATTCATCACCGCATATCCTAGAAGAGATCAAGTACATCGTGCCTGAACTCAAGCAGTCTCTGTTCCTGCCGTTGGGGCAAGTCACGCAATCCTCCACTTTGCATAGAGGGAAGATATTTTTTTGACGAAGAATTGTTACAAATCCATTTTTGTCGCCAGTAGATAGTCCAATGCTTTTCGAGTTCATCAGCTACCGAATTTGGCATATACCACGTTCATGTGTTAGGTTTGTGCTGAATTTTTCCGTCGGTAGCAATTAACTATAAAGGATAAAAGATGATAAAGCTCTCGGCGTTGGTCAATCTCTGAGGGATGCACCATGCATTCGACTTCACTAAGCATCGTTGGTGGTGATTGAATGCATATCTGACCTTTACAGTGACTTGCGGTGGCCTGCCGATGTAACGGGCCAGTGCTGCTATTCTCGCAGACAAAGTTGAGTTAAGTTTGCCATCAGGTTGTTTGAAGATTGGTACATGGATGCACTAGATTGGAGAGCTGATAAACTCGGAAGAATCCATCTATCTATTAGCGGCAGAAATGGAGAATTTGTAGCGATTCCTTTTCATATGGACGTTAAAGTAACGAAAAGGAACATAATGACCAATGACGTAAACTAAGCAGAAAATGGGTCAAAATGCCAAATATATGGTCTAGAGATATCTATTACTTATCAGTGTAAAAGTAATCTACCAACTTGCCCCATCCTATATTTATTAAAACACACAAACTTGTCTCTATTGATGATCTTGCGTCTACCGATTTTTCAGCATTTAAATTTAGATCAATCATCAGTTGTGTAGGCGGTCCGATAGATAGGATAACACGATTCCTAAACCGCGTCCTCACGCAATTGCTCAAGTTCATACTAGCCCATCTTTCTAATAAATCTTCCTAGACCATTTAATATCGTACAAAACCAATCCACATGTGTATTAGCGCAGTCTATACAATCGTCTCGGATGGCGCCGTAATATAAGCCATCGACGAGCTGCTCATAGACCTTGAAGAAAAAATAATTCAATCTTCTGCTGGCGAAGATATTATGAGCAAACCAGAGGGTTAGTAACGGGACAGCGATAGCACGAAGCCCTTACATTGTCTTTGTGTCTAAAGGAAAGCCCCGTTCTCAATCGTCGTGCTTTACTCTGCTGTTGATACATTGATGCTTGTTTTCTCATCTGCTCTACAAAAGAGGAGATGGACAAGCGTTTCGAAGTATTAAACGAACTGTCAGTGTGTATAAAATTTACACGAGAAAAGCCTAAGGGCGAAATGGGCTACGTTACAGAACGTTATCGAAAGCTAAGCGTTGAAAACGCTAGTGGACTACTCCTGTTCTCATCCCTTACACTCGAAAAAGCACTTGTCCTGAGGATGTACCGAACATCTACAAGCATTTGCGTAGGCGGAGGAGAGAGAAAGGATTCACTACACTTGACACGATAGACAACCATCTTAGCTGGTTACGAAATAACGATCACTGAAGTCAGGTTTGAAAGGAAAGCTAAAACCCTCCCCCACGTAACTGACAGTGCAATCCCAAGCTAAAATAGGAAGATCGCTTTAAAGCTACCCTTCATATCAAAGGAAGTAATCACCGCTACCAAGAAGTCATGGTCTTGAGGACTCTGTGGCACTTATAGAAATTTCACCAAGCACTTATTGTCGTTAATTGGTGCGAAACCGCCTGTATGGCCGTCTCTGTAAAACAGAGCATTGCACATATGCCCTGGCGGTAGAGGTATAGATTGCATGAGTTCAGGTGCAATTTGTCTAATCTCTTGTAAGACATGCGGGGTTGAATACACTCTGGAAACGAGTAGACTACCTTGTTTCTGCATAGGAGAACATCTAGCTGGGATTTCGAAAATTCAACAAAGTACCCTAGAGCACAAAGGCACAACGGTGACGTTTCTGAAGTGGTGCTCATATTCTGGGACAGTTATCAGAAACATCAGCTCGTAATGCCCTTGAGGCCTTTTGGATAAATTTCAAAAATCCAGAAGTTATTAGAGAGGAAGACTGCTCTATTATCACACGTGATATGGAGCCCCATCTCAGATTGATTTTTTGACCTGAGTAGGGTTTATTGCCATAGTGTGTGAACAACAGGCGGGTGACCTTGCTCCATTAAGGAGTTAAACGGTGGGTTTTACTTAATATGTAGATTTTGAGTTATTTTTTGAGCAAAAAATATGGTATGATATAGTACGTCTATGCTCGAAGGAATGTATAGTCGCTGAAACGTCGGCCATCGCATTTGAGAAGGAAGGGACACCAACCTAGCGCTAGCTTGAAGAATGATAGTTCATGAGATATATATTCGTGGCAGCCTTTTTAAAATGAAATAACAACATCAGTCATATCTTTTGCTCGTAATACTATATTTGAACCAATAAAGAAGTCGATAGCTTTATTGTGGTATGGTCACCAAAGCTGACGAAAAAATCACAACAGTTTTAGTCAGTATGTGTTACTCCAAAATTCTTGAAGCACACGGATTTCAAATGTAACGCGCCGATGAGTCAAGTGTGATATTGTGATTAACATGAACTTGTTTTCAAATACTTTCTTACTGAAAGCTTTAACTTCAGCGGAATTTTGGGTGAGAAACTAGAGTGTTTGTCCTGTTATTGATTCGACTGGAAAAATTGCACAGTTTTATGACCCAACTCTTGTAAACATATGATCAGCTAATCCATGTTTCCCGTTCTATATACAACTCTGCTACATGCTTCCAGTATTTCGTTGATCTAAAACTTGTATTTTAGTTTTCATCCACTGGTCACTTTTTTTATGTTCGTTGTATTCTAGAGTTCGTTCTGGTGTCAACGTGAATTTGGCATCTGCTGGCGCAACCAGTGCTACGCCTTCTGCGACTTCAATACCTACGCCTTCGAGCTCCATTCCACATTCACAACAACAAAAATTTTTACCATTTCTATCGTTAAGTGGCAGCTCAATAGCCTTCAACTGCGAAATGCCATATGGTCATGACACCCATCACCATAGTAACCAGTAAGTTGTCGTTATTGTTGTTGCTTTTCCTTTACAAAACATGAATCTATTTCGATCACGAGGCGATTTTCGTCTGCTTTCTTTCTGTTAAAACAATCAATAACTCTTACCATTAGCAATTTTATCTTAGCTGATTTTCTGTTTTTGTCTTCATTAGAGAAGCAAGGACAAGGAAATTGCCAAGAAAGGTCGGGAAAATTTTCGGACTTGTGTGAAATCATTATGACTCTCTTTTTTTTCACAATTTCAGATTCTACTATGCCGTCACAAGTGATTACACAGAATGAAAATTGTTACCCATATAGAATTTAGGTGGCAGTAGTTGTCAGTTCACCGGTCAGGGTTGAACACCACTAATCATAGGCTAACCCGTGCGAGCACCGGTACGGCCCTACTTTTGCACATAGGAGCTACCCAGAGTAGGCTCTACTCATTATAGGGACAGAAAAAGAGAGATACTTTTAGTTCCGAGATCTTTTTTCTCACTGTTTTGGGTGAGAATGTAGTCACTGTTGTCATCTCGACATGCCGCACTTTGTTATAGGTGGAATAGGTGTTCTTCGATGAATCCTACAGAGGATAGATGCTCACTATACTGCAGTTGTATAGCCACTTACCTTGGAACACCTTCCAGTCATGGTGAAGCGATAGATCACCGAGAGGGTTCAGTGATTGAAATAAAATTGAAGATATATCTTTAGCACTGAAAGTTCTTTCTGAGAAACTTATTTTGATTTCAACTACGAAATGACGGTGGTGTTGAATTGACTTTCTGGTTTAATTTTTGATGATCTATTGTTAGCGTATGACGCGTGTTGCGCAGTGGTCGGAGGTGCCCTGCAGTACACATGGGATCGGTCCCCGTACCACAGACTCAACAAAGCTTCCATCTCACCGGAGTCGGCAAATTGATACCAAGCTTGTCTGGGAGGATAGCAGCACTGGCTCGTGCATTGGTAGCCCACTTCGAGTCATTATAAACCCCAGATATGCATTCAGTCACTTCCAACGATGCTTAATGAAGTCGGATGCATAGCGCATTTATCGGAAGTTGATCAATGCAGGAGCTTTGTCTTTTTATCTTTTTATTCCTAGTGTACGCCTTGTAAGGAAACGTCTTACCCCATATCTTTTTAGAAAAAGTGAAAAAATTTAATTATGCTAGAAACTTTTAGATTTTTGAGGAATGGAAATGCTTAGTGAAGAAAGTGCGGGGAATGAAAGTTGTCTATTTCCAAGTTAAATAAAATGCTTTTTGTTTAGTCCAGTGTTTAGGCACAGTGGCCGGCCATCGACAGGCAAAAAGGCTGTAAATCCTGACTCGTACAAGACGGTAATGTGTCAAGCATGGCTAGAGTCGAAAATGTGCGCTTTTGGGGAAAATTGTCGATTTGCACACGGAGAAGCCGAGTTGAGACCTGTGAGGTTGGCGCTTGATAGCATTTGTTTATTAACCTCTTCATATGACCTTCTATGTAAGGTAGAATATTGGCGCACATTAAACATTGAATAACACAAAAAATATAAATGTGACGTCTATATTATTTGTCTTTTCTAAACCAATAATTCGTATTCCATCAGCTGACTTGGATTAAGTTGGGTGATTTCTAGTATTCTGGTAGTAACTACTAGGATCTAAAAATCTGCTAGATTAGTGTAGTGATGTTTGTGTTAGTATGGAATGCTGGTATGAGATTCTTTTGAGTTTAGAAAGGATCTCAGAAATAAGGGCAGCTGTATAGTACAAGGTTGATGCGCAAGGCCAAGTCACAGTGGTTAATGCATTTATTTCGCTTCATTTATTGTTAATGTATTTTGAAGGCTAATCTGGAAAAAATTCTATTGTATATTAATGGACTGAAACTGAGCTGAAAAAGACTGATGCAAGTTTCAGTCACTAAACCAGTTCTCTTAACCGTTGATTAATCACATTAGAATTTTCGTCACCTCTTCAATGTCCACGCAATAAATAATAGGTAAAGTTGGCAGAAACGTGTTATGTAGGCATACTTATCAAGTTATGGCATTTTTTCTTACCAAGGAGTCATCGATAATCACGGTTGGAAATCCAATGGGGAAAGAGGCACGTCCTCAGACGCAGGTGGAAACATGGGGTCGATTCACTGTCTCTGCTACATCTCATTGACTTGTATGCGTTCTACCCCTACGTTGAGTTCATCGAATCTCGCAGTAGAATGACTGAGAAGTATGTGCTAAGTGATTGGCGTTCGTTTCCTACCAATATGCCGGAAAAGTCAGCAGTTTATTTGTAATGTCAACCATAACGGAAAGGTCTAGCTCGCCACTGAAGACCACGTTTTCACCATTGATTAGCGGGTCGTGTGGTCGTATACAGCTTTAAATTCTATGTGTTCCTCGAGCTAGCGAAGTTCCCGAGGCACTTCTGAATGGGACAATTGGAAAGTCTTCGCAGTGGTCAGAGGTGCCCTGCAATAACACGTGGCTTCGATCCCATGCTTCAGGCTCGCAAAGTCTTCCATCTGTCCGAGGTCGACAAATCGGTACCGCCCCTGTCTAGTCGCACTGACTCGATACATCGGTAGACCACCCAGACATTGAATAGGTGAGATATGCATTCAGTCACCTTTAACGGTGTTTAATAAAGTCGAATTCATGGAGCATTCTTGAAATGACTAGCGACAAGAGCTGTATACCTTTTTTAGTGTCGTTTTCTACCCGCAAAATTGGTTTTTAGTATAGATAATTCGCAAGCAAGCAGTGCAGTGGTTAGAGATAGCCTGCAATATACACCTATCGGGATTTGATCCTGCGCTACCTGCTCATCAATCTTCCACCCATCCTGGATCTCCACTTGTACCAGACCTTTCTGTAAGGATAAAGACCTTGACATGATACATCGATAGACCAGTGGAAGTAACCTAAGTCATGGCCAGACATGCACTCTTGATGAATTCGAATTTATGCCGAATCTCTCAGAGATTTAGGAACATCGAGGGCTTTATCCTTTTCCAATTCAATGTGAACGCGTTCAAATTCGTATTTGTTGTTGTCTGTGTAATTCTCAATGGGTATATCTTCGGTTTTAAACAGGTGTCCCAGTGTTTGATGTATACCACTTAATCGCGTTGAGGCACTAACTTTCTTTAAAAAAGCCGAAACGATGAGTATCTTTGTCTTACAAAATTTTATGAAAATAATATTTGCGGCAGGTTGTCAGATCTCTTCATATCTACACTAAGACTTTGATATTTTCTTCCACTTTATGGAGTCTAAGTGCTACTGCGTGACCGCTACATAGAAAACGTCGGTTTGAACGTACGCATCGTCTCTGAGCAAGTATTTCTAAGGATTAAACGACTGAGAGAAAATCTGATTTTAATGTACCATATCCAATTCGTGGATGTTGTGCGTTTCTGAATATTCACCCTTCTTTCAAGATTAGAGATCGTAGTTTTAGGTCGGTGCCGTGTCAAATCAACAAATATAAGACGAAACTCTGTGACAAGTATACTACAACAGGCCTGTGTCCATATGGAGATCGTTGTTTGTTCATTCATCCAGACCACGGTACAAACGCATACATCAGACCAGACAAGTTGGTTGAAGTGCGTGTGAACCTTATCCTGTGCATTCACTCATGCGGATTAGATTTAGGCTCGAGGTTTACCCACTAATACTGGTGTTTGAGAACTTTTCAGAACAGCTATAAAGAATTTACTAATTTGCAATTAGTAGAAGTACAGTGAGCGAGGACAAAGCATATGTTGCAGGTGTCGCGGCGTCATGCGCTTGCCGATATGCAGTTTCTGGCATCGTTGGACCCGACACATACGATCACTCCATCATCTGTTTCCTACCTGCCTGGACACCCACCGATAACTCCAATTCTCCCACCACCAGCATTTCACTCTCATTTGGCAGCCAATTCAAAGGCACTGTATAACCGCGGCGGCGTTATGTTTGGCAGTTGTGGCAACAGCACCAGTGGTGGACAGACGCGCCCACAACTCCGTCCGCATCCCAGTTGGCCTCTTGAACCTTCGACGTTCTTCAAAGAGAAGACAGACGAGTTCCGTACGCCAAGTCCAGCCGATGTTGCTATCACTGGAGGGAAAGGTGTGTAAACTGGTCTCATTTTCGAGAAGTGGTTGATTGATCAAGTGTGGCTAAAAATTATCAATTGGGTGTGATTCTGTTGGGAGAAGTTTTGAATCTGGAGAATTTTTTTTGAAGTTGGTAACCCTGTACGAAGAAGCGTATGACTGTAGATCGTTATTAAATATTTCTATTTTTTGTCACCATACCTCTACTCTTTTGGTATTTTCTGTACAAATTAGGGTTGTAGATTACCTTCTTATCGTCTTCAACATGTTTCGAAGCGATCCGTCGATGTGAGTAATGTGTGAATAATGTGTCGTTTTCTTGTTCAGCAATCGCGAGGTTTTTAAACAGCATACATTTACTTCCATAAAAAACACAATACAATGCAACGCTAGCTGACGTTTCGGCAGTATCGCCTTCTTCAGAGCCTGGAAGGGTATACTGTATTGTATTGTTTTATGGAAGTGTATTGTATTGTGTTTTTTATGGAAGTAAATGTATGCTGTTTAAAAACCTCGCGATTGCTGAACAAGAAAACGACACATTCATATTCCAATGCCGAGGTTAAGAGAAAGTCGATCCTGGGAACTATTACAAGAATGTGTGAATAATATTAAAAAGGTAATGTTATAGAATAGTATATTAATATTCTTGTACAAACGATTCGTGCAAAAACTAGTTCACTTCTAGATTCATGGGACCAAGTATCCACTCCAGCTCGGAGCTCTTCGGGTTACATGTCGGGTGGCTCCACACCTTCTGGAACATCACCGTTCTCCACTGTGTCATCATCGTCGCTGCATTTGAACTTAACGGACGACGATCGCGACTTCGACGTTTTCAACCTCACCGTTGGATTAGATCACATTGCCAAGGATTTGGCCAAAACATTGGAACTGTGGTAGATTTTCCATAAGATCAGCGACGACGTTCTGTTTTATGAGTTAGAACTCATTGTCCTTTACGTAATAATGATACAGTTAATCGCGCAACTCTTGTGACTTCGAGCAGTAATCGTATGTACTATCTTTTCTCAACTAAAACACTTTCTCCTATACTCACATTCGCACAGTCTCAGTTTAACGATTCAATCAGTTTTTTCCCACTTTGTGGATTGCTGAGCTATGGTCTTACGTTTTTCTTTTTTTTTAAATACTTGCTTGGAACTAAGGTTCAGCAGAACTGACATCTAAACCCGTTCCTTCTTGCCCCAACTCTCATTAAACGGGTCAGAGTCTTTCATTTGATAACGTTGCTCCGTTTTTATTTGCTCAGCTTTCTGTTTAAAAATTTCTGTGGTAGTAAAAATTAAATAGATGCGCTTAAGCTAATACTGTAGGTATTTCAGTCGGATGGTTTAAATATGTGACGTTCTTTGCTGCATGTGAATTGGTTAGCGTGTGCTTTTTTATTTATAGAATCATAATAACTGTACATTATTATTTATGCAAAATGCTGAGATAATAACTAAATTATGGCATATCATTCATTATACGTTGGTTAAAGTGATAAGGACGGTAACCAGTTAAGCACTGGGAAATATTATGCCTTGATTTGGATTTTGTGCAAGTTTGGCCCCGCCTTCCGTGAATCGCATTCCACGTCGGAAATGAAGTTGTAGTGTCGTAATGTTCATACGAGTTTTCTTTGCTAATATGGTGATTTGAGATTTCTTTGTGTATATCGCCTTTTCTCGTGTACATCACTGTGTAGAGTATAATTCTGTAAATTATAATAAATGTTCTGAACAGTATGACATTGAATAAAGCATGACTCATTGGCCCATCTGTTGTAAATGTGGATCAGGCTGGAATATTCGTCGAATTCTTTCACTTGATAATTCAGTACAGGTTAGCATAGAAAAAGGAGTTTGATCGATAATTTACGATGCAAATCTCTCAGGAGCATTTTTTCGGATGGAAAAGTTATGGAAGGATTGTTGTAATACATCCAGAAGGCACATGTAGGTACATTTATTGGAAGGAGAGCATCGTCTTCTGTGGTACATTGCTATTGTAAAGATTGAAATGGTATGAAGAATCAAAGAGGTGGTAGTGATTTTGCTAATAAGGATAAGGATAAAGCTGTTGGTGTTGATCCACTCCCGAGGGATGCGCCATGTATTCGACCTTATTAAGCATCGTTTGGAGATGATTGAATGCATATATGGCCTTTACAATGACTTGCGGTGGCCTAGCGATGTATTGAACCAGTGCTGCTCTCCTCCCAGACTTGTCTGGTAGCAATTTGCCGACCCTGGATGAATGGAAGGCTTGGTGGGCCATGGGCGCGGGGATCGATTCCACGTGTGTCGCAGTGACGCGTGATTTTGTTAGGGTACGATATATCTACGACATGGAAGCACGTTCCATGTTGGCCGTTAACGGGCAGGATCCTCAAACGCTAACACTCCATATCTCTCTGTTCGTTTGAGACCGAATTTGAACAAACCTAACGCTGTAGTTCGATATTTTTTTATGGGAGTGAATATATGAATTAACACTAGAGTGAAAGAAGAAATAATCATATCAGTTAATGGAATTTTTGATGAATGCTGCTTTTCCGTCCGCGAAGTGATAGTGTTGTCATCGAAGTTATTCCTATTGGTTAAAGAGAAATGTTCGTACTATTTGATAGCTAGGAAAGTGTAGCAAGAACATAGAACATCAACGTGTTTACTAATCGTGACTGCCCACTCGCAACAGCACGACGGCTCTGAGAAAGGCGGAGTCGCCCAAACGTCAGCCATTAACCGATAACAAGAACAACGATAACTTATGCCAACTTCGTATCAGCTCAACATAAGTTCATACATACATACAACATAGTTCATTCAACATAAGTTCTGTTCATAGCGTATAAATAAATACATCGATTATTTGTTCCGAGGTTTATAAAAAGTCGGTCTTTTGTACTTCGATTGCTGAAAATTTAACGCCAGAATAGGAACAACCACCAGAATGTTTTCCGTTGTTTCTGCCTTTAGCATACCTCTTTCATGCTTCTCACTTTTCGCGGAGTAATCAGTGATTACCCAATGCAGGACAGTATGTTCCGTTGTTGTGGACGTAGCACAATTTGAACTAATGAGCGACACCAGCTGAACATTCATTTAATGAACGGAAATTACACGGATTGCTCAAAGATAAGAAAAGGACGGCTTTCATGAAATTTTAATGATGACATTGTTAAAAAGGTTTTAGTAATGGACCTAAGAATCGTGTATCTTAAGATACTCTCAGTATTTGTAACAACTACCCCTCGTCAACATGAGCAATCGTCGGGCTCCAGCTAGAGTATTTACTTAATTCGTATTTTGCTCGTTGGAAAGTTTTTTTGCCTGGTGGTGGGAGAGCTGAAGCTTTCTCAGGTAGTCATCAAATTCAGTGAGTGATGAATGGGAATATAAAGGAGATTGTCAGGTTACGACTGTGTTTCCCTCAAGGTAATCGGGATTCTTGGGATTGGTTTAGTATTAGCAGGAATTTCAGTTGGAAATGCTCAACTTCTGTTCTATTTTCACCTTACTGGAAGGTGCACATTCTAGTGTGCATCGTAGTTTGGCACTCAGTAATGTTGCTAACAGAAAATATTCAAGCGCTTGGTGATAAGGTGACACCAATTAGGAATGCAAATTGTAACACTCTTAAGTGTTTCAGGTAACATAAAGAAGTGATGTGAAGAAACACCAGGAACGATTTTCCAGCCTAACTTATTACTTTGTAAACCACCACTGCTACAGAATCGAGCTATATAAGACGTCGAAACATAAATCAAGTCGATTCCTTCGGAGAGTTCCAATTTCGAGTTGCACGTGTAAAATCGACACCGGAAAAGTATTTTATTAGGGTGCCACTTTTTCTATGGATTTATGCTGAACACAGTATCCATACAAGAGGAAACCCTCGTATTGTTCTAAACTTCACAGAATTATGCGCTCTGCTTATCTTAGAAAACTTAATATTCCTGAAGTCGAATGTTTTTGAATTTCTTTAGATGGCATGCGATTTTGACTGCATTTTGATGCTGCCTTGCTAATGGAAAATTCGAGTCGAATTCGCGAATAGCATAGTGCTAGGGATCTTGTTCATTATGCTGAACCATCCTATACGGGCAATGGTAGTGGGTTCAACTCTGCTACCCTACCAAGAAGCTTCCATCTGAGATCGGAAATGTGATACTGAGCTGACTGTTGATCTGAGCTGATCTACACGGGAAGATCGTAACGATTCTTTCGTGGAATTGCATGGAGAATCGACACGACGAGCAACCAACGACATTCGTGACGAACAGCGAAAAATCCTCAAGCAGCACCGGAAGTTACACTGGCCCTCGTGGATGGTGGTTGGGGGAGAAACGAATCGAACAAAAGAAGTACTGAAATCTGCAGGGTGCGACACGGTGGTATCAGGTGATGCAATAAGTATAAATAACAGATAAATTATGGCAGTTATCTCATCCACATTTAAAAAAATCCACGATGGGTTTCACTTCTTATTCTCACGAAGGATTTGGTCTTATCACCTTCACAGTAATGTGTTCCTACTTATTTTTTGCTTTCGTGTTCTGGAAATAAGTGCCGATGTCATCGGAAGAAGCTTTGTTCCGGTTTATATTTGCAATCAAGTCTTTGAAGGCGTTTTTGTAGGCCGTTGTGACGGAATGGGCTCATATTCTATAACATAATTATCAAAAAGATTAAATTAATCAGTCCGTTTATAGTCATACTGGAACAATCAAATTCGGTAAAACTGCACTTCTTTCTTGAAACGTTTCTACAAGTGAATAGCGTGAGTTGCATCTTACAGTACTGTTCCACTCCCTTGTTTATAGTAGCAAGCTCGATTCATGTTAAAAGTCGATCCAACTAACGCGTATCTTCGAGGTCTGCTGCACTTTCAGAGAACCTCTTTGGAATTTGGAACTTCTTCCCTTGGTTTCTGTGTTCTATGTCGACGAGAATTTATAGGCTAGCAATTGCTGGTATTACAACGTATCCATTGCTACAATCGAGCTCTACGATATGTAAATGCTCCATTTCTTTGGCTTTTTCTTAACCATGGCTAGGCCAAAATGGTGCTTCAAATTT